CCTTATCGATTAATTCTAATTTATATTTCACAATTTCACTTCAAACCATATTCAGCTATAATGGAACCCACAAAGTTAACCATTTTCAATATTCTCAAGAGTACTCGAATTCTAGAATTTATTTCTGCTTCATAAACTGTAAGTATTGTATTCAACAATTAAATTTCATTGGTGGTCGATGGTTCTATCAAAGATCTGTATTCGGAATCGTTGTTTTTTTAGATGGAGAAGGATTCGATGTTAATCAGAATGAAGATGAATGGAATCTGTGAATAAAAAGAATAATTATTCTGTGAAGATGATATGTTGTACAAACAATTCATTGGCAATCTTCAACTGTTTAATTATCAATCTATTGAGGAAATCCTCCTTCTTACTCCATTTCTATTGCCAACACTTCCTCCAAAGCACATTAAATTAGTTAATTATTTTCCGAGAAGCTATCATTTTCATAATTGAATAGCAAAGTGTTGCTGATAAAAAAAATATCAAAATACAAGGAATGATTGTATGCTTTCATGAAGTTGAAGGATTATTTCTGTTTCTATAATATTTGTTTGATTCGATCGGTATAGAATGTTTGATGAATGCTGAAAGAGTGACGATAAAAGAAGAGATGATATGACAAACGGAAATGACAGGAATGTAAAACATCTTCGAGAACTGTTAAAAAATTATTCCATTATAGTATCATTGTAGGAACCTGTAAGATAAGATAAAATTTACGAAGACTAAAATATAGTAGCAGATGAGTGGAACAAAAGCATCTCTTTCTCACTGTAAGTGCTACATAAACTAATATCATACTTCATTGTTTATTTTTCGCTTAATGAATTATTTACCAATTACTATGTAATTTATTCTTTTGCCATTATTAAGCAAATAATTAATTAATGCAAAATAAGTTAACTATAAAAATTATCCTGAAATGGTGATATTGTCTGAATGCATTTATTTAATTCTTATATGATCTGATCAGTTTGATTATTTGAATGCTGTTTTGGTGTTATCATTTTCATTTCCCTTATCAGTCTTCTCTCCCTCACGTTTTACCAGAAAATATGTTTGTTGTTCAGATATTCAATTGTTCATAAAAAAAGTCATTAAATATGAAACAAAGGGAACGTTTCCAGTTAATGTTGTTATTCCATCTATATACCTCGTCTTACTGAGATTTTTATTTCAGGAAATTTTTTCAGGAAAGTTATCAAGAAGGAAATAGGTGGAAGAAATTCATCATATAACCTTGTGTGGTGTGGCAGTTGTATCATTCATTACCTGTTTCTTTCATTCTACTCGTGACATGAAATAATCTATCGACTGGTTTTCAAAACATCACTTTGGTGGCAGTATTGTGATAGAGGGACGAATTTGTTGTTTCTGCACTTTAAACTGAAAGACAGTTTTAGCCAATTTTTGTTAATTTGAGTTTGTACGCAGAATTTCAAACTGCAACTATTCAATTTAACTTAATTGCGTTATTTACTCACAAAACCTTCAGAATAAACTGGCAGATTAGTGAAAGAATGTGGCATTTCCTGACGGCGCTCATTTGTTTTTATGGTTTTATTAAAGAATTTAAAATTGGCGAGCCGTATATTTATTTATATCAAAGTGAAGCATTGAACTTAACACGCGAACAACTTACAAATGAGGTTCGTATCATTCCATTTCATCGGTAATATCTAAATATCAGTGATTTTACCATCAATTATTGGCTGAAAAACTTTTACAACGCTTCATTATTGTTAGTGCATCCAATTTCAGATTTACCCATTTGCTGCTTACAGTTACCTATTATCATTGATACCAATACTTTTGCTTACCGATCTAACGCTTTATAAACCGACGATGTTATTAGAAATCGTCGGACAAACCATTTACCGGTTTGTTTCATTCATCTTTTTCTTGAACCCAGGAATCCAAAATCAAATATCCCTGTATATTTGCATATATACGTTCGTGTGCATCTAAATGTGTTTCTTCTTTTGTTTTTCGAGGTTACCGGCATCTTCTGGAATCTCTCAAGTAGATAATTTTAATAAAAGGAGAAAAAATACAAAAAATAAAAAGGAAAGTTAATGAAAGGAAACTTTTGAATTTCAGCCCAATTCAAGTTTGACACCGACTTTCGACTACCACTCTTCCATCAAACTTCCCTCATTTTCCTAATGAGCGTGTAATCCAAGTTTTAGTGAACTCTCTTTTTCGTGCGTAAATAGATGAATTGTTTGCCTAAAAACCTGCGTGTTTATACAGACATCGTGGGATACATCATTTAAATTTCATTAAAAGCAGTTTCTTCCCTCTGGTTTTACCGGATCACTTATTTTAATTTTCGGATTTTACTTGAAAGTCACTGAGAAATGTTTTGAGAGGTATACTGGTGTTCTTCCCGGAGGTTTGGGCGCAAAAACTAGGAATTATGGTTTTTGGAACAGCATCTGCTTCCGAAATAGCCTTCTTCTCCTACATTTACTCAAAATCGGAAAAGGACCAGTATCAAAAGTAATTATCATGACTATTTATAAATAATGAACAATTTGTACTAAATTATAGTCAATGAATGTAGTTGGACCTTTGCTAATGAAAGAAAGAATACTTCTAAATCATGTTCTTCCGTTTTATTTATGACTCCAAGTGGTCATTTTAATTTTTGAGGCACAAGTATCAGTTATTGATTTTTCTTGAAGAATTCAATATTTCGATAAAATTTTTTTCGATTACATTCATATGATCATAGATTAACAAGCTATTCGAAAGCAGCAGTGATGTCTGGACGCATGATAAGTTATCTGTTAGCTCAGACAATCATCCTCACAGGGATTGGAAGCTATCGATTTTTGCAATGTGTAGGTTTTGGAGTCCCATGTTTCGTTGTCATTCTTGCTGCATTTCTACCGAGTGTAAAATGGAAGCAAGTGGTTATCAGACTTTCTGACTCGAACAGCAAAGGTAGTCATTTCAAATCCAGATGACACAAACTCAATTTCCAACATTTCCAACAGGTTGAACTCTGTTCTCATATTCTCTTGTTTTTCTTACATCTTTTTGACAAAATGCTTTATAATAATCAACATTCTTTTAGAGACAGTTGTCGAACAACCTGATTTACCACAGACGTATGGTGCATATGTACATTATCATTTATGCCTAATGCGTCACAGTATAACTTGCATCTATCGGATCGGTGCTATCCGAAAGTGGTCCATGTGGTGGGCACTAACAACATGCATGTCACTTCAGGTATTCGTAGAATATACCTATCACAGATGTTCCAGAGAGTGATTCACCAAATCACTTCCTCATTCCATATTCATACTAATATGTAGTCCACACCAATGACGCCAGATGTTTTTTGGAGATGTCACTGAATTACGCATTCATTTTTTCCTTAAATGGTGTTTGCTTCTCGAGAAACATTGCATGAATGAAATATTCCCAAGTCAGCGTGCAATTCATAACATTAGCGCAAAATGAAGGTTGCTCAGTATGCTCAAGCACTTTGGGGTGAAGTACAATATGGTGCCACGAATTCAGTGAATGGTTTCGCGGAAGCTACCTATACCGCTACAGGTAGGTTCAGATTTTTGAATTTCAGTTGCCAGGTCAAACCAAATCAAATCATAAAGGAAACCATAAAAAACATGCATGACAGGAGAGAGCTTCTGACAATCACGGAGGGTGGCTGGATAAAGGTAATTTTTATCCAGAGTAGGCAACTTCCAAACGTTAACAATTTTTATGTTTGTCTTTCTAAAGTGTCTGGAAAGATTAATCAGTTTAGAATTAAGCGATGACATATTCTGTAGCATCATATGCTTACCACAGGTAGAATGATCCTGATTATAACTTTCAGCCGCAATATCGATTTTAATATTGGGCCTAGCTAAAATAAATTGGGATAAATGGGGTGAAATGACGTTGGCTATGATTTCCTTGATTGATACGTTGATATTAATTATATATTCAAGAGCACAATCCATATGGATTATGTATGCTTGCTATATTAGCTATCGAAGCTTGTATCAAGTGATGATTACCATTGCTCAGTGAGTCAACTAATTTAGTTTTAAAATCTGAAAGAACTACTTTCTACAACTTTTTCAAAAAGATCTAAATTCGTCCCTAGCACAGCCAAGTTACTCGATTAGAAAAAATCATGTTTAATTTCAATTTAGCTCGGAAATTTGGCACATCCAAAAATAATTTTTGCTTTTAATTTATGAACTCATGCTAATTTCCCGCAATTAGTAAGAGAAACATGGAATACTTATTGCTGATATAAAATTCTGGTAGTTGCAAACCACTGCAGAAGTTATAAAGGCGCAACAGTTAGCACAACTCATGGACTATGGCTTCCTTATGCGCTGATAAGATTTGGAAATGCAGTAAGGCGTCATCTGTTTCAAAAAATAATATCAGGGTTTACATTTCCTCATAAAAACAAGACCCTCAAATATGAAGTAAATTCTTAGGGAACAGATATACCTAATTCCATTGCTAAGGCAGCTATGAAATCATATACAATTTACAATTTTTGTAAATTTTTTAAAAATTGGATGTCATATGTAATAGTTTCTCGCCGATATCTTTTCTTATTCTATTTGCAGGTGGAATTTGGCAAGGAAAATGATCGGTGAATCATATGGTTTAGTATTCGGTTTGAATTCATTCATTGCTCTGCTGCTCCAAACACTACTCACCATCACCGTACCTGATCAACATGGACTAAACATGCCAGTCAGAAAACAGGTACACTATTTTTATGCATTCGTGATGGTTGGTGAATTTGAAAAACCAACTTTCGCGGAAAACATGAAAGAAGTTTGATTTTGGCACTATTCTGACCTCCTGAAAATGATTTACATTGTGACTCAATCGAAAATTAAGTTTGCTTAACTATTTTTTGCTAATTTAAATTGACTTTTGAAACCGCAACAGTTTCTAGTTTAGAAATTATACTTGCAATAACAACTGATTGAGCAGTACATTCTGTAAAAAGTTCGAATTGCAGTTCCTGGTATACGCTGGCTGTCATGCGTTCATCGGAGCAGTTTTCCTAATCTCACTATGCTATTCACTTATCAGATGCTGCAGGTCAAAGGTATCAGTTCAAACTGAACAACCTACGACATACATCCAATAGCAGCGTGGATGAGATGCTGCATAAGTTGTATGTTAATGAGAGTTAATAACTATAACATTATAAGCGGGCAGTAAGTCTTGACAAAAAAGAGGATCGCTTCCAAAAGAAAGGAAACAATCCCATCTCTAGGGTGGTGCAGTGCGAAAAACTACCTCATTGAAAATGACACAAACCTCATATACTTATAAAATGGTACTGCAAAAACGATTTCAAATGATCCTACTGCTCAGCTTATTATAACCTCGTTGGATGCAATTCCAACACATATAGTTCAAACCTAATCATTCAATGAACCATCTTATCAACTAGCCATTCAACGTTCACAGTACATAATACAGTGCATACTGACTTCCGAAAAAAAAATATATATGAATAAAAAGCAGGAATCATTTCGTTCACAAATTTATTTATTTGAAAACATAACAGCAGCTAAATTGAAGAATTACCAAATCTATCACAAGAAGAATCGCCTTCGACTGGATTCCATTTCATGCCTCTGCAAAATAAATCATATGAAGGGAATAAAACATTTTTGTCTTCTTTTGACTTGATTTGAAACGACGTGATTCAATTTAATCGGCACCCTTACTTTATCGTAATTCGAATCAAATATAAGTAAGGAAATCATCCGCTAACACGAAACGAATTATGAAGTATAGCAACTTAATACTGAATATTTGATTGACTAATTACATAATGAAGTAAATCTTATAAATGAAGTGACACACAAATCTTTCGAGATTAAATAAGCCGAAAGCAACCTTTAAGACCCACTCATATTCACCATATCGAGTATCAAATGTTCCCTTTTGCAGCCATTTTAGCCGTAATGTGAAACGAGGTCCGAGTTCGAGTAATGCCGCCTTTTCACCTTCTTTTTTGAATTCGTACCTGTTCATATCGGTGTTAATAATTTTGATAGGTGTATTAAAAAAAGTACCAAGTCGATTTCAAGTTTTAAAATGAAAAGATACTGCGAAAATGACTGGGAGCAAGATGCTCAGGAAAAAACATTTTGAATGCTTCGCACGCAAAACATCCTGAGCAGAACTTAAATAAGTTTTGCAAACTCCAAGAACTGAAGAGAGCACTGGAATGATTTCGAAACAGCTAAGAATTAAATTCGCAACCTAACATAACAGTGACACAAAACCTGTGATGTCTAAAAAATATGTAGTCGCGCTGGTTGTGAAAAGTAACCACTCGTCGCCCAGTATACATGGCTTTTTGTGGAAAGAGACATGCGAACATTCGCGCAATCGTATGCCCAAGTCGAGTGTTGAAATTGTTTAATACCAATTCTGGATAATGTATGGTGGATTCGCCTTTTTTCTGTAATGTTAAAGTTATCTTAGTCATTAAGTCCTTCGAACGGAACATGTCTTTTTTGCCGAATCTTTTATTGATTAAAATTAAAAGAGTGAAAAAGGGATGAAATTTTTAAACCTTAAAAATTTAAAAACCAAGACGATAAAATTTACAGTAATTACCTTATTGCTTAATTTGGATATTAGTAAAATCAAGAAACGAATAAAACCATCAAGAATCTGTCTAATCCATAAACTCTCACCTTAAGATTCTTCGTAAAGGTTAAACTATTAATTTTGAAAAATGCAGTTGGACCATCTGGTAAATGACAGAGAACAATACCGTCTGAAAATGATGACAAATATAGTTGAATTTTGAAAAAAGTCAAATTAAAGAAAAAATAATCGTCATGGAGTTTGAAAAGTGACTAACAAGATTATGTCAAGGTAAAAATGAAAGCCCTCGGAATTTAGAACGGTGAAAAAAGTTTGAGCACCATAATTAAACTAGTATGTTTGTATATTAACTGTTTCATTTATCAAATGTCAGTACACCAAGACTTTGGCGTTTTTTAACAGTTATGCGAAGGAATTACAAAGTTACTTAACAAAGAGGAAAAATGAAAATTACTTGGTATCTTCCGATCTTCGTGCACTACAATCAAATCCGTATATTCCTTGGATTTTGCTTGCTTTACCACTCTTTTCAAAGGAATTCCTTTACGAGTAAATATATCAGAATTCGGAATGCATTTTTGCAATTCGTAGCAGAATTTGAATGTATTCTTAAAAGGTAAAAACTAACTAATGCATTCTTAAAAGGTAAAAAAATCGAATAAATATATATGAAGCTGTTTATGGCAATGAAATTCAAGATAAAACCTTCGGAGCTTCTAGGTAGTGTAGTACGATATATTATGGAACAACATTCAGTAGAAGTAAATAGTATATAATGTAGCTCTGTGCAAGCTAAATGAAATGCTTCTCTTTATGTGGACAGCAAATTTTGAAAATTATTGTAAGGACTAACCACTTTAGCATAAGGCGAGGTTGTTATTAGAATCTTCGGTAATATTCCGTTGCTAAAATACGCGTTCATCTCATCATTTGCTTCATCGTGCTGAACCTGAAAGAAAAAAAAGAATAAGTAAATTGACAACGACATATATATATATATATATATATATATAAGTTAAAGTGTCAAAACTTTCTGCTCATGAGACCCCATGAAAGGTGTTGGTATATATATGTATATACATATATGTATATATATGTATATATGTACATATATACATAGTGTTTGTTAGTCAATGAAGAGAATTTCAAAAGATCAACCAGATAAAATAGTTGGCATTGGTCAATCTTGCGTTTCAAAAGGTGGTTCTAATAAAATCCACTTAATGATTAAAAAACATAGTATACTTCCTGAAAGAAACAAGCTCTTACGCCAAGTCTTCAGCTCTATTTTGTAGTACTGTAGAAAATTTACATACAAGAAAATGTTAACAAACCTCTTGATCGTCATCTTCTATCATAGTAACATCATGTTCACGAGTACTTTCAATCGTTCGCGGCTGTTCCTTCGGCAGTGCTTTTTCACCAAGTTTTTCGCGTAATTTCAAACGCATCTTTTGTCGTTCACGCTTTGCCTAAATTAAAGGCAGGACTTTCGAAAATATAAAAGAAACATTATCAATTGATACTTAGATAAGCCTTTGTGTCCAGGATAAAATTCTAGTCAACAATGACAAAACTTCATACAATAAACCACATCTTGGTTCCTTTACAAAATTCCGATGAAACCTTCTTGAACCATTCCATCAAATTAAAGCATTTTATAAAAGAAAGTGAGCGCTTCTATCTTTAACTTCTTCATTTCAGTAAGTGTTCACAAATGAGGTCCTGCTAGCGGCACATGCGTTAAAAAATATCTAAATATTCGACAACTAATCATTTATCCCCTCATACAAATTACTAGCTATGTCTTTAAGAAACAGCTTACAGAAGCCTTTTCCAAACGTAATTTTTTGCCTCGTTCATTTCTGGCTGAATTGGGAATTGTCTTATACAAACGGTTCAAATTTTGGCCCACGGATTTGACTGATGATGTAATGGATGCTGTTGATGCTTCACCGATTTCCTGACTGTCTTCCTCCGTCAATGTTTCTTTGCACGGACGCCTCATAGCCTGGAAGTTAGTTAAATCCATTTCTAAACACGAAGTGCTTATGGAATGACGGAGAAAAACGGAAGTTAGGGAAAAGTTGTGGATGTTATACCAGTTGGATTTAAAAGTAAATAAATAAATAACCGGAAAAGAAAATGACGAACAATATGCAGAACAGCTGCGAAGTTCGAGTTTTCCAGAAAACCCCTGTTTGTCACTTATACAAGCCTATTTCCCGATGGCCCGATGGAATTTTCACACAATTTACATAAATCAAAGAATGAAGCTCGCAATAGTTTCCCTTCTCTGTGACTGCAAAGTGACAAACTACACGCACTGCAGCCAACCGCAAAATACCAACTAACCAACTAAAGAAGCAGGCAAACAACCCAGTACTGTCGCTAAAACTAGTCAGGTGAACATGGGGCTCGTTTGATGTTGCGTGTCGCTCAATGAAAATTAACATCCCCGCACTGCTCTATCAAACAAGGGCGGATGTCACATAAGCTTTTACATGCGAATTTCAATGCTGAAGGTATAACTGCTACTTCTTCCATTCATTCTTCCGCATTAAACTTACGCCTGAATATATGCAGAGAACATTCGAATTTGCGTTCTATTCAAATTTTTCTTGCTAATATAAAATAAAATATTCGAAGGGATTCATCCATTAATATTCTTAGTTCTTTGAAAATGTCCACACGTAGTGTCCACGACGAATTTCATTTGTAAAAGCCACGAGTTCTTAGAATTCGACTTGGTATGCGTTGCCTTCTGGAAGTGAGCTTTCGGAGATATCAGCCATCTGATCATTTTTTTGAATTTTAACGCCCGTCTTCTTCCAGAAAATGGCCGACAAAAAACTCAGTGAAAAATTGCCACAACCTGGTGAATTCATTATCACTAAGAAAGCAGAATATGAGGTGACAGCTGAAGTCTGCCTTATGCAAATATGGGACATTTCGAAATTGTCACCATCTGATAAATTGATCCGCAGCCACATTCGGCACATTAACAGAATTAATCTCTTTTCATTTTTAATTTTGGGAAGGAATTAAATTAGTTTGCTGGTTCAGTCAATCAAATTGTTGGGCAAAGGTGGCTTTGGAGCAGTATATGAAGTAAAACGCGTCTCAGATTCTGCTGCTTTTGCAATGAAATGTGAACTAATGGATGTTAAAAAAAGAGTAATGCTTTCTGATGTGATCCGAACTAGGATGATTTACCAAATAATTGCTTCAAAACTTCTGAGAATTCGGGAATTCACTAAATCCTAAGATGACAAATGAGATTTCCGCAGGTATTATTGATGGACTGTACAGTATTGCGTGGTGCACAGTCACTTGGAAGTAAACATTTTTGCGAGATTATCGATCGTGGAAAGCAACCTGAACGTTTCAGATTTATCATCATGAAACTGGTAGATTTTAGTTGTAAAGATTACCAAGTTTCACAACTCGAGAAGCTCCAATCATGCGGCTGAATTAAAGGAACTTTAATGCAAATATTAAATTTAAACCAATAATCTATCTCCTTAAAACTCGAGAAAGTTTCAAATCCGATTTTTTTTATCCAGGATATTTTGGTCTAAAAACTAAAGTTGTTCCAAAATTGAAGAAATTCTTCACGAATAACACTTCCAGGTCGGTCGAAATTTATGGGATCTAAGGGTGGAACGACCAGAACAACGTTTCACTTTGAATACAGCATTGAAAGCAGCCGAACAGTGTTTGGAATCAATTGAACATTTGCATACGGTTGGATTTTTACACCGAGACATCAAACCGGGCAATTTTGCGATTGGACGACCGGAGGCTAACGAACATCACACCATTTTTATGCTTGATTTTGGGTTATGTCGGCAATTCAGGTGATCTATATTGAAGAAGCTTTTGAAATAAGCGTTATTCTAAGTTTTCAAGATTATCGTTTGTTCTTTTGTCTCCACTTCATGACTATAATTAAGCAGCTATTGGATGATTGTCAGCGCTTGCAAGAAACTATAAGTGTGATTATGCTATCATCGGACATACTCTGTTCAGGAAGTGAACCATCTTGTGTAATTCCAACAGTGTCCCTTTTAATGGGATAGAAAAAAGATAACTTCAAGTCGGTTTCTTCCTATTTTTACCCTTTATCAAATATCACAGCTCTGGAAACAAAGATTTACGGTTGCCTCGCGCTTCCGCCCCTTTTCGTGGTACAACTCGTTATGCATCAATTGCTGCACTACGACAAATGGAACAGTCTCGGAAAGATGATGTCGAATCATGGCTTTACATTACGGTTGAATGGACCGCTGGTTCTTTGCCTTGGAGAAGGCTGAAGGTTCAAGATTTAAATCCTTTCTTTTAAGTGAAATTTTTAAGAAAAGTCACAAGCAGAATGATATACTGCAGAAGAGAACGAAAAGTGAGGAAGCGAAAATTGACAATTTATTGATCGATTGGTGACTGACATGCTCAGAAGTATAACATTAGCGTAGATGATATATTTCAGGTAATACTTGATTATCTTCAAAGTCCCAATTCTAGGGACCTGATAAAGAAGAGGTCCTGCAATGGAAGGAAGAGGTACGTGAAGGTGAAGCAATGGATGATTTTTTTAAACAATGTCCTCGACGCGAATTTTCGACAATAATGAAGTACATCGATTCACTGGAATACGAGAGTATACCAGACTATGATCATATTTATTACTGTATACAACATGCTGCTAAGGTACCATTCTTGTCTCTCTTAACCTTTGGTTCAAATGAATAGAAATAGAAATCGAATCGGCTTGCTTTGAACTATAGTTCGCCATTGAAAGTTTAATGCTTATTTTGAATTTTCTGATATTAGCTTGAATCCCTACTGCTAATTGTTTTGGAAAAAAACAAAATTTAAGAATTTATATCTAAATAGCTGATAAATACTTTCCTGTTCTTTCGGCAAATCACATAGCAGCAGATGATCCGCTTGACTGGGACCCGGAACACAAGTACCATGGACCGATTATAAATCTTAACGAAAGGCAAAGTAAACAAGCAAAAGAGCGACGACGTCTGGTTACAGCAAGAACACAGCGCTCTAGTTGATTTTTTCATCTTGGTTGTGGATTAAGCATGAATTATTGATAAATACTTTTTTAGAATATCCGTTCTTAAGTAAAACCTTTACAAAGGTTTATAACGACTTTAACCTCAAAATGAATTCAAAATTCTACCCGCAATTCCATTCATTCTACTAAATACTAATTTGATTATTGAATTTAGCGAATGTTCTTTGGTTCACAAGAACCAATTTGCCGTTTTTTGTAGAATTTCATTGCAGCACTAAAGATTTACAAATGACTTCCATATTTAGACGGTCTTTTTAACCTTCTTTCAGGCCTTTGGTCTAATTTAGTACTATATCGGATGTATCGAATGATAAGAAACTGACCTTACTTCAAGTTTATGACTTTAACTTCACTGACTTCGGCAATTAGTTTATAGACAACACCTAAATTGCGCTTGTCGTCTAAAAAGAAATGTAAGTTGCAATGACTGGTAGTCGTCTGAAGTTAAAACTTGTCTATCTTCTTTTCCTCGTTTTACTTTTCTAAGATTACGAAGATTTATTCGTAAGAATCTCATAACAGAATGTTTACAAGTTCAAAGAATGAATTAGCATTATTAATGACAATCGACCGAATGAGATCATTAAAAATATTTACAAACTGGCAGATATATAGCACAGTATGATTGCTCAATAAAATTTCAATTTTTTGCCCTATTTCATATCTGCATTGCAAAAGCCAATTTTCTACAGAAACATAAACAAAATTAATTGTTAATCTTAGCACAACCTCACACTACTTTTCTGGATAGATTTGAGGAACAAATTAATGCAGTGAGGGACGGAAACGTAAATTATATATTTTAATCAGTGATAGGTAAAGATTCAGAAAGTCCTTGACCATCACTCAGCCAGAAAATTTTTGCTGACGCTCGGATCATTGAATGAAATAACTGAAGAGCGTAAGAAAGTTCAAATAGGATTATGATGAAAATAATTCCCAAAACAAAGGAAAGCAAATCTCAGTGTCGGAAAGATTCGGTAATTGTTTAAGGTATTTTTGGCTTTAGTTATTTGTTATACAAAATAAGACGCATTGATGTACCATATTAATATTACTTGGCATAATAATACCTGGGAATATTGATTATTTCACCGGAAAACGAAGCTCATTCGTGATACAGATCCCTCATTATGGTACAAAATTTTTACATGTAGTTTGATCAACTTATCTGAACAAGCTGAACTGATAAAACAATTCCGGGTTCCATTGCAATTCAGTAGAAATCACAAGTGTACCATTCCGAAAAGTTGCTGTACAATACATCACTTTATACAATGTACTTGTTGTTCTTGCTAGCGAGCATTGTTGTGTCAGTAATTTCTAAAAAATTACGAGCATTTTGTGTTTACGGTAGAAATCTAAATTTATTGAAAGATTGATGAGGAGAGACAAAAAAAAAGAGAAAATGTCAAATAAAAGATATGAAGGATCAGAGGTCAACTTTTATTAAAATTATTTACCAGATTATAGTCATAAGCTTGCCGAAATTTGTGTAATCAACGATTTGATTTTTTTAATAACAGGCTATTGTAGTATTGGAGTGCCAAGCCTAATTCTTAATTTCGCTGTACATGGATATTACATCGAAATTTTTTTTTCCTTTGTTTACAGTAACAATAAATTACTTAGTAAAGAAGTTGACTCGACAAGTAGGTTGATTTTGGGAAAATCAGATATCAAAAACTAACCTCTAAGAGCTTTTTTCTTAGAGAAATTAATCTTAAAAGGTATTCAGCATAGTTCGGAATCATCTCAACGTACGGTGTTATATTGTTTATCACCAAGTTGACCACTTGCAGCGATGTATTCATAGCCTGTATTGGATCGTACTAAAATGCATCTCATTTTGCTCTTTCTATAGCTATCTATTATAGGTAAGTAATCACTGCAAGATTCTAATGCAACAAATAATCATAGGTCTGAACTTTGAAAAGAAGTTTTTTCTCTCATATCTGAGTAAGATTTGATTAAGAAATTTTGAGCATTGCTTGAAGAGAGCTACAAGCGACAGTTAATTTAGGAAGTCACAGCATTCGTCACATGGTTCGTGACAAAGTAGATCTTAATAACGAAATGGTCAATACGTCTAAATTTGACAGTACATTGTATATTAAAATAATTGATTTATCTGTACTCTTTCGGCAAGATGCTCATTCAGGTATTCGTTGCTGACATGTATCGTTGCAAGCCATTCAAACTCCAATACTTTCACATCCATATCTTCCTGTTTGTAAGTTACAAAACTTGTTAGGTGTAAATCAATCAGTGCAAAACCATTTCGAACTGATGATACTAACGGCGAGCGTATTTTGATGATCATTTGACCTAAATTTATATTTTTGTATTTCACTCCCATTTCCGACACAATAAAGCGCACTGTATCCTCAATAACATAACAAAACCAAATTTTCTAACTCTTAAATTTCAGCTGATAATTTGTAGTTGTCTATTTTAAGTTCTATTACTTAAGTAGTCAAGTGATTGCGTTGCTGAAATATTTTCTTTTTAATCAGTTTCTATTTGTTAATAGATTAATTCTCCCGGGTTAAGAAGTCGGAAAATTATTAACTCCCTGATACAGTCGACTCGAGAACAAAAAATTTAATTTCTGGTGCGGAAACAATATGCAAAACTGAAGTTATAAAGAGCGCACCCGAATCGGGAACATACAATTCTGTATCCTGCAGCAAGTCACCCATACATTTTTCGTCTTCCGAACAATTTAAGCTAAGCATCTTCTGGAATTCTGGATTTGTGTGTAACTGCAATGCCGTATCTCCAAATGTTGCAAGCTGTTTCAGGAATATATTTAGTACCGATTCCGAGATATACAAATAAATCATTTCCATTTTATCGTTCGGTGATTTCTAAAAATTTTTATTAATTATTTTTAATGACGGATGAAAAATAAAAATAAATGGTGTGACTAAATAAATTAATGCGTCAAATTCATCGTCAGACTAGCCGATTTAATCAGTTAAAAACTAAGTGTACCAATGCTGCAAGTTCGATAGAATTTCTAATACTTAATTCTAAGATCGACGGATCAATTAATTGATGACGCTATAGCTATTTTATATAATCAGCTTTCTTTTTCAGAAATTTATGAAGCGGAATGAATTTATGAAGTAAAAACCATAAGATGTCCTTCACTTTCCAATTTTTTGACCGCGGGAGATCCAAGAAGTGGAAAATCGAAATAATCCTCAGTCAGGGAAATATCATTACTTATTGTGGTATCGATGAGAAGATTGGTGATTGTATCATTGATCTAAAAAAGTTTATTAAATTTTTACTAACAATACAAGAGATTTCATAAAGCTGTTCTGAGTAAAGTAATCTTTTTAAATGAAACATAAATATCTCATGTTATTTTTAAATGACGGTAGTAACACCGTCGAAGTAAACCAGGAAGACAATACAACATTTTGGGCCTATGTCGTGATTGTGTGGTATGCCTACCTCAGTGATAAAAATAATGAGTCAAGAATTTTTGATGAAAATAGAAATACTACTAGAATAATATGGATTATGTCTGCCACAGTTTAATCTTCATAGCAAAGGTTTAAAAAAAAATGTATCGTTTACTTTGATTTCGACGACCGGTGAACGTATTAATTTATTTAAACGCTCCTCAAATTTATTTGTAAAAGCTTCCAGAGCTTCACAGATGACAACAGATACGGTTTCATCCAATTCTATTCGTAAACCTTGATCAACCAATTCGTGTAATTTCGGTGTCAACTTAATGTCAATGGATCGGACTTCTGTACCACATATTATATCTTCCAACTAGGAAATTTAAATATATACTGGGTGCAAAAATCTTTCAGATAAAACTGTGACTGCAGTTTAAAAGTGATGCAAAATTTAGTGCTGATGAGTTTCCTTCCGGTTTCGAGCTTAACAAATTATTATTTCAGGACAAGTTTTTGCAAGAAGGGATATTTTGAGTAACAATTATAGATTCAGAAAGTCAAAAAATTCGATTGGTTCTTATTAAGGCCCACATTCTCCTATTGTTTCACTCACCAATAACTTTCCAGCAAATGTTGTAGCAATTTTAAGTTTCAAATTAATCAAGAAGTTGCTCATATTTGCTTCCAAATGTCCCTCACGAATGGTTCGATACACTGCTCGATAAGAACTTGACAGCTGTGCTGAGCCTCCATGCAATATTATTTCCATGGTATTATTGTATTGCACCTAGAAAATTGGTACTAAAAAATTCATAAGACAAAACAACTTCTAGGAAACGGACAGAACAAGATAGAACAATTCAAAAAATCTCATTCTGGACAGTAAAAAACTTTGTTTTCTATTATATGCTACAATAAATATTTTTAACCAATAAATTAAAATATGCAGAAGTAATAGAAGACGTATGAATTTATATTTGTATCACTAACACTTCAAAGACATCAT